CTATGACAATGGTTAACAATCTCACAACACATCAACAATATCCTTACTCTATTTTGTGTTCCCTATCATCAGCTTCCTACTCCCCTTCTGCCTTCCCCAGGCTGTAATCTTTACGGAAGCAGATCACCAGGTCTTTTCTCCTGAAGAGCCGCTGGTGAGTTCGAACTGCCAACCTTTTGGTTAGCAGTTGAGTGCTTATCCATTGTGCCACCAGGACTCCTAAAGTAGGGTAACAGAATATAATAGAAGAAATAGGCTTGGACTGTGTTGTGAAGAGCCCTGAATGCTAGGAAGATGAATTTGGACAGTTTTCTATAAGCAGTAAGAAAACTGTGAAGGATTTCTGAGCAGAGCTTTCTGCTTTATGTAGACCATTGTTTCTTATTTCTGTCAGACTCAGGCCCTCTTTTATAATATATTTTATAATACCATCTTATCTTGAAGTAAAATTCATAGAAATAACATATCTACACATACATTTTTAAAAATCAGTATAATGTCCTCTAATCTAGAGGAGAACGAAGATTGTAATTTAAAATAATACACACCTTAACATGTAAATGCTCAAGCACAGCTATGCTAGAAGACAGTGAAGTAAACAGATGTTTGCACCAGTATGTTGTTATCATAAACATGACAGCTGTCAATGCAGAATGTTGTATTTGTGTCTCATATACCATCAGTGATGGAATTGCAAATGGTGAAAAACTCTTAGCAAAGTTCCCAACAAAGCAAAGTACATTTTTCAGTTTACTTGGTAGTTGTACTCATAGAAGATCCAGCATATAGTTAAGCTGCAAATATGCTTCATAAACAGGTTCTGGGGTCAGATAATTGAAAATAAGCTTTTCATTTATGAAAATCTGGCAGGACCTTCAAGAATATCCTGCAGTATGCAATACAGTCCTTTTTGTTTACTGTCCCAAACATTGCAGGATGTCTTGCATCCCTTGCCCCTGCCCGGTAGATGCCAGTAATGTCCCTCCATCTTTTTGACAACTGAAACCACCTCTACAAATTTCTAAAATGTTCCCTTAGGAGATGCTACAATTTCTTTTGAGAACCTTTGATGTAGATAAATCTAGAGCTTCCAAATTAAATATTAGCTTATTGGAGTTTTGTTGTTGCTGTCGAGTCAGTTCAGACTCATGGCGACTCCGTGTGTGCAGAGTAGATGCTCCGTAGAGTTTTCAAGGCTGTGTGCTTTCAGAAGGAGATCACCCTGCCTGTCTTCCTAGGCATTTTTGAGTTGGATTTGAACTGCCAACCTTTTGGCTAGTAGTCAAGTGCTTAACCGTTTGTGCCACCCAGGGACTCCTCTGTTGCAGTTTAGGTTAGGCTAAATAGATCGAGATTCAGGATAGTAAGGGTAGAGATTAAAAAGAAGCAGTTCAGTGAAAGTGCAGCTGTTGAAATAGAATTGTCAGGATTTAACAACAAATTGGGTATGTGGTAAGGGACGGGGAGATTTAAAAAATGGCTGAGGTTTCTAGGTATATATGCCTGGAAAGGTGGTAATACTAGTAACAGGAAAAGAGAATAAAGGAATGAATTTGAGGGAGTAGATGAGTTCAGTTTGGGATGAATGGAGTTTAGTTGCTTATGGGGGGGTGGGGGTGGGAAGAGGCAGACCCTCAACGAGATAGATTGATACAGTGGCTGCAGCGGTGGGCTCAAGCATAACAGTGGTTGTGAGGATCGTACAGGACTGGCCAGTGTTTCGTTCAGTTGTACTTGGGGTCTCTGTGAGTCAGAACTGACTCGATGGCACCTAAGAACAACAACATAGGACGTAGAAGTGGAGATTCCCAGACGTATCTGGAAATGCAGGGTCAGAGCTTTGGAGAGTACGCAAGGCTTGAGAGGTTTAGAAGTTAGTCACATCCCATCTATGGCTGGAACAGTGAAATTTTAGAAGAAGGTTGTAGAGAGGAAAAATAATAGAACCTAGGTGGGTCCCTGAAGAGTGTACTTAGAGAAAGGTGAGAGGTAAAGAAACAGAACAGTGATGAACAGAGTTTCAAGAAGTAGTGGATAGCTTGTCTTAAAGAGACACTGGTAAATTTTACTTAGTTTGTCAGCAGAGTCAGATGCCTCAGAGGTGGTTGAGAGCTGAGATCTGATTCGACCAGTTAAATATTTAAACTTGATAAGATAGCTTACTTCATTTGGGTTACAGCTCATTTTTCTGCCTATCCTTGTTACAAACCCATCCTTGAGATTATTTTGATATCAAAGTGTTGTTTTCATCCTATTTTCTGAATTGAGAGAAGCTTTTTTTCTTTCATGTAAAGGGTCTAACTAGTCCACATTTATTTAGTCCCCTTTCATTTCTGAGCTGCATCATTGGTTACCTCTTTGAAAATATGTTGATTTAGCCAATACAGCAAATGGGAGTCAAGAGGGAAGGTTGACATAAAGCCAGAAAGGAGCAGGGAATAGTGACTCCTAAAGGATTAGCAGTTAAGAGTAGACTTATGCCACCACTTAAAGTGGAACTCAGCTCAGCCTGATTGTTTTTTGGAATATCTTTAGGATGCAAAACTCAATGTTACAGTGTTTTTCTGTATAAACTAGTTTAAATAATTAGTTTAGCTAATCTCTCCCCTAGCTTTTTAACTAGCCTCCTTGCCTCCAGTTTTGCCTGCCTTCTCGATGATAATAGTCATAGTGTTCTTTCATAAATGCAAATAAGGTCATAGTTACAGTCATCTCCCTGACACAGTTCTCCAGCTTGATCTTGCCGCTCTATTTCTCCTTCCTGCTGAACTGCTTTTGTAATCAGTGTCCATGTTGTAGGCTGTGCATTTTGACAAGCATTATAGATAATTCCTAGGCAGTGTTTAGATTGGTTCCAAGTAGTTCTTTATGAATTGGCCCCAATGACTATTCACATATATTTATATAATATATAGGGATACTTAGTGTTCTTTTTTATTCACATTTATTTCAAATATAGTTTGTACTTTGACCTAAACAACATAGTTGTCGTTTTTAATAGGCATGTACTAGGGATTGGCAAACTACGAACCATGGGCCAAATCTAGCAGAGTTGAGTAGTTGTGACAGAGACTGTATGACTTGCAAAGCCTAAAATATTTGCTATATGGTCTTTTACAGAAAAAATTTGGAGACCTGTGGTGTATACTGTTCCTTTTTTATTTTTTGTTTGTGCCTGGTTAACTTATTCATCCTTTAGATTTCAGTTTAAACTAGTTAAAGCGTGAAACTTTTTTTTAAGCCATGAAATCCCTTCTTCAAACAATCCTATGCCAAAGCCCAGTTTAGAAATAAATAAAATGGAAGCATAAGTGAGGAGCCAATTATGCCAGCTCCCAAGGTGTATTTGTGGAACACCTAGGTATTGAAGAGCACGATTATAAATTCAGTGGTGCTTCACCTAAGATGCTTTTTCTTTTTATCCCCTTCTTGTATTTGTCCCTGGCCTTTTGTGCTGCCCACCACTTAGTGTACTGAATCATTATTGCCTGTTTAGCCTTTTTATCTTCTCAGTTAGACTAAGGGCCATGGAGCAGTAGCCCTGCCCGACACGGAGTTTCTGTAAATATAGGTTAAATGAATGAATGACATCCAAATTGGACACTGGCAATAAATTAGACCCACGCTCAGATAGGTCCTCAAATGATTTCTTTTCCTACTTTAGCTCCTTAAGAATACAGTCACAAAATGCCCAAGCTGAAAGGACCTTCAAGATACTTTATCCTGCTCTGTCCAATACAGTAGCCACTAGCCATGTATGGCTTTTGAGCCCTTGAAATGCAAAGTGTAAAATACTGCCAGATTTCAAAGACTTAGTACAATAAAAAGAATGCAGAAGGTCTCGTTAATAAGCTTTTATGTTAATTACATGTTAAAATGATATTTTTGACATACTGAGTTAAATAAAATAAATTATTATCACCTGTTTTACTTTTTAATGTGACTATTAAAATTTTTTTAATTACTTACGTGGCTCCCATTATATTTCTATTGGATAGTGCTGTCCTAGACCAGTGATTCCGAAAACATAGCTAATGCGTTAGAATCATCTGGCAAGCTTGTAAGGTTATTGAACCCCACTGCAGATATTCGAAGAAGCCCTGGTGGCACAGTGGTTAAACTGCTCATCTGCTAATTGAAGGGTCGGTGGTTTGAACCCACCAGCCGCTTCACAGGAGGAAGATGTGGTAGTCTGCTTTTGTAAGGATTTACGGCCTTGGAAACCCTATGGGGGCAGTACTGCTCTATTCTGTAGGGTCACTATGAGTCAGAATTGACTTGACGGCAGTGGATTTTTGGTATGCATATATGTGTGTGTATGTATATCTGCTTACATTGTGACTGGCACATAGATTAGGCTCAATAACTAACTCTCTAGGTGCTCCCCAGATGATTCTGGTGTCTCATATGTGCACTGAGAACCATGAAGTCCCACCTCTCATTTTATAGAGAGGGAAACTGAGTCCCTAAATAGTAAAGTGATAACAAATACAGTCTTTGTTTCAGTATAATGTCAAAGGGTTTGCTTGCCTGGGTTGAAATTCATGCTGTAATTCATTCATAAATCTGGCTATTTTTCCATGATCTGAAACATTGGCACTTAACTAACCATTAAAGGTAAAATTGTGGCTGACTTTATTTAGTCATTTCAGCTTTTTGAAAACTGGTCATTTGGTGTTTTCTTAAGATATTTTGTCCTTATGGTGACTGTATTTAGTGTGTCCTCAAAATGTTTTTTTCTTGTTTCTTATTATTATTTTTCTATTCTAAAGGTAAATTGTGAGATGTAAGTTAATGTTAGGATTTTAAATTTAATTAAAGCAAGGTCCTGAGTTGTCACCATGATTGATATAATATTTTCACCAGAGACAGGGAAAAAGAAAGCATCCTGCTTTTTCTGCAGAATCTTAAGAGGCTTTATAAGCTCTTTGATTAATTATTATGAATGTCTAGGAATAATTTATCCTTAATCTTCTTTGAAGTTCCTTGACACATTTCAGGATGGCTTGAGAAATTAGCAGCTAGCCCATGATCTGAGGCTCATCTTTTGACTTGCCTTACAGTGGAGTATGTTTCAGCAGGCAGCTCTACCTGCTTCCTATTCAACGGTTCTTATATGTTCAGGGTTATCGGGCAATGGAAAGCATGTAAGTGTACATATTCAAGTCATAGGAAATCCCCATTCATCTCAAGCTCAAATCAGAGAGCTCAAGATAGCCAAAGATTTATGAAATTTTACATGTGGAAGCACCAATGGGTGCTTTAGTCTAACATCTTAACATCCTTTTATAGCCTGGAAAGTTAGGGAAAAAGAAGTAAACGAAAAGCCTAGGTTCAGTCCCAGGGCTGTTTACACCACTTCGGTGATCTTAGCAAGTTGTGTCATTCTCTCTATGCTTTGGTTCCTCAGCCATAAAGTGGAAATGCTAGAGCAGGTGACCATTGACTTCTCTTTTAAGAACCATAAGTTTATGATTACTTTCTTTCTTAATAGTGTTTTGTTTTCTTATTAACCTCCCTATTTTTCTCTTGAAGGGTCGGATGACTTGTCTGCAAAGCTGTGGGATGTGAGCACAGGGCAGTGCATTTATGGCATCCAGACCCACACTTGTGCAGCGGTAAAGTTCGATGAGCAGAAGCTTGTGACAGGCTCCTTTGACAACACTGTTGCCTGCTGGGAATGGAGTTCTGGAGCCAGGACCCAGCACTTCCGGGGACACACGGGGGCGGGTGGGTTGCCCTTTTTTTTAAGGCTTTTTATGATTATTTTAACCTTATCCCTTAAGTCAGAAGCTGGGTAATATGATCTTTTTATTGTCATTATTATTATATTTATTTAACCTGCTTTTTTTCCCCTCCTTTTTCAGTCACTGCAGTTATTTTCCTCTATTCGAGTTACTCTTATTTGGAGTTTTTCCCGCAATTTTGCTTTCCCTTAGCCCATTTAAAAACTTTTCTATACGCCCTTATGCTGAGAGGGGGGCAATTCTCCCTCTTCTATTTCATTTATATCCTATTGAACAGTCAGTCTCCTTTGCTTTTATCAAAGATTTATACCTGCAAATTGAATGAGTTCTATACTTGTAAATTTGGTCCAGTTAATTTGTAGAATTAGGTCTGAAAAGCCTTTGGAGTGACATTGGTTGCCAGATTATGTGGTCTGCACACATTATATCTAATTGGAGCTTGGTTGTCAGTGAATTAAAATAAGCAACTGCCTAGAGTTAAGATTGAAGAAACAGATAACCTGGATGCTTCCTAATAAATGTACAGCAGCATTTTCCAGAAATCTGATTAGTTGAATACAGCCTTGAGGGCTGAGCTTCTCCCTCTGTTGCATTGTATTTTAGAGCTTTGTGTAGAACTCATATTGAGCAATTTCCCAGCCTCTTGTGCAGCAGCTCCCTTCTTCCTTTCCCTGTTTACCCATTGCTTAAGCCCGTGAGAATCACAGTGTATGCTGCTAAGCATACATTTTATGAGCAGCCTTCCTGGACTCTCTAAACACCTCGGGTTCCTCTGCTGTAGGTTTCCCAGTAACCTGTATTTCTATCATAACACTCATCATACAAGTAAGTATGATACATGTTTTCCCCACCAGCCTGCAAGCTCATAAGGACAGAGATCCTGCCTGTCTTGTTCACCCTTATGTCCATAGTTCCTTGCGTTGCACCTGGTGCTCAGTAATTCTTTGAATGAAACCTAGTTGTTTTCCTGCTAAAAGCATTTTCCCCCGTTTTGTTTGTCTTCCTATACATTTTCTTCAGTCTTTGTTATCTGCTACCAATTGCTTCTTTTAGAAATTAACATTTGAAGGTCTATGACTAAGCACAGAACTTACACATTAAACTGCATATAATATTCCAAAGTATTTCTCAGTATATGCCATGATTTCCAGGTAATTTTACACCTGATCAACTTTGTGACTGTTGCTCTAAAAACATTCTTCTTGCTGTTCCCTGGACATTGCTGTGGCTTTTCCTAACTCCATGTCATTGCTGTTCCCTCTATCTGCAATGTTCTTTTTATTTCCTTGATAAACTCTACTCATTCTTCAGGGTCCATCTCCTAAATCGCCTCCCTGAAGTCCTCCCTGATACCCCTGGGCAGAGTTAGTCATTCTCCTTGGTGTTTCCCTAGCAAGAGGTAAACATTTCTCTCTTTGCATTCCTTCCTCCATCACCCTTAGACTAAGCTCCTTGAAAGACCAATGTCTTCATCTCTAGGACTCCAGTGCTCCTTCAGAGCATGGCAGACATTTAACAACAAATATTTGAGAACTCATTATATTGTAGGTACTGTCTTAGGTGCTGAAGATAAAGCTGTGAAGAAATTCAGACACTATTTTGAATGAATGGATTAGTCTGATCCGTGTTTTTGTTTTGCTTCTCTTTACATTGGCTTTTCTTGAGCCTGGTTACTGTTTTACAGCTTACATTCTTTACGTTTTGTCTCACTGCAGTAAATAGTGCAAATCTGAGTAGGACAAATTGTATTCTCTTTTTCCCTGCATGAGGTAGATAAGTTTTATAGTGTTAGGCACTCTTGAGCAGGAATGCCGTTATCTTCAGCACTTTGTCTTTCATTTTAAAGCTAACACAAATATAAGAGATTGTATTATTACAGAGACTTTCAAGCCTTAGAGTAATAAGCTATAATAATAACAAGATTTTTTGAATGGATTCTTTTTTTAATCTTAGAATTGATAGTTGAGTAGCACCATTCTAACAGTAGCTCTAGTTGGAAAATCTGTACAGTTGAGCGGCTAGGGAAAATAAATGTCATTGAACTCACTGTTAGAAAAGCCCCACAGAGGCATGTTTTAACTTTGCGTGTGTTGTATGCACTAGTATTTAGTGTGGACTACAATGATGAACTGGATATCTTGGTGAGTGGCTCTGCAGACTTCACTGTGAAAGTATGGGCTTTATCAGCTGGGACATGCCTGAACACACTCACCGGGCATACGGAATGGGTTACCAAGGTAGGAAGACTTACAGAAGACATTACTTTGATGCCAGGTTTGGGGGTGAGGGGTGGAGGATGATAGATGCTGCCTTATGGTGGTAGGTGAACCATAAGATGGAACCACAAAGCATGATGATGTACAACAGTGACTAGCACATAGAAGGCACTCAATAGTTGTTAATGGATGGATAACTTATGGAAAGATACCCAATGTATTAGGTGGGTAGAGGGGGCAAACAAAACAGATTACAGAAGGGTATGATACTAGTTTCTGAATGTGTTTATGTATCAAAATGTTGAAGATAATTATTTCTGGTGGAGTTGTGGGTGCTTTTTTTCTTTCAGGATGAGCATGCTTCTTTTTTAATTAAAAAAAAAAAAGCTTTCCTTTGAAAAATAATGTTTGCAATAAGTGCAATAAAGAAATATCTACAGGCTCTTCAGAATATTGTGATGTTTTCTAGTTTTTGAAAAAATATTTCTGCAAAGGCTGAGGGTACAAGAGGGAGCAAAACAGACCTGGCCTTACCTTTATGGATGTTAGTCTAGCAGGGAAAATAGTTATTCACAATAATTTTACAAACAAATGTAAAATTACAAACTGTGTTAAGTGCTGTGAAGGAAAAGTACAGTGTTCTATGAGAAAGTCTTGGAAGGGTATCTGATTGGTTCAGGGAAAGCTTTTTGAGAAGGAACAAAATGTGAAGAATGAATATGAGGTAGCTGGGCAAAGATAGTGGAAAGTGTGTTTCAGGGGGTGCAGCCTATGTACAGACCCTGGGGTGGGAAAGATGCTGGAACATTTGACAACCTGGAAGAAAGTCAGTGAACTGTGCTGTAGTTGAGAGGCTGAGAGGTGGTCATCATGTATGATTTACTAAACCATATTAAGGATTTTGGATATCATGAGTGTAATGGGAAGCAATTGAAGAGTTCCGAACGGGGGTCTGGTATGATTTACGTTTTAAGAAAATAACTGATTGCTGTGTGAAAAATGAATTAGAGTAGGACACGAGGTGGACACAGGCTGACCAGTTAGGCCTTTGTAGTAGTTTAAGCAAAAGATGCTGATGACTTGGATTTGGGTGTTGGTAATAAAGAAGGAAAGGGGCACACATGAAGGATGTCTTTAAGGTAAAGCCAACTGAGCTTGGTGATTCGTTCTGGGGATCAAAGAAGAAGAAAGAATTAGAGATGGCTGGTGGGTTTTAGACTGCTTGGGTGATTGTGTCTTTTTCTGAAAGAGAAGGAGCTAAAGGGAGAGCAGTTTGAGAGAATATCAATAATTCTGTATTGGGCATATTGAATTTTAAAATAGAAAAGTTATATGTTATAAAAAGGTAATTTGATATCATAGGAAAAATGGTGGACTTAGGGCTAGACGACTGGCTGTGGTATCACGGATAAGTTACTACTACTTTCAGGGGCTGCGTTTTATCACCTGCTAAATGTTCTGTGAATTTTAAATGAGAAGATGGGGTAGCACTCAACAAGGTACCTGTCTATCGTTCATTCAGCAAGGTCAGTCAGTTTTAGTTGAATCTGCTACTCAGGCTTCTGAATGAGTGAAAAAGACTTTCACCTTCTGTTGATCTATTACAAAAGTAATTAGAATTTAGTGTTTACAGATTATTGAAAGTGCTAGTGGAATGTTAGCTTTTATTATATCACTATTTTTATTATTTACATTGTTTCATTCCATCCTTACTGCAGTTACATGAGATAATAGGTGTCTTACCCCCTGAATTAAAGATGGGGAAACTGAGGAACAAAGAGCCTAGATGGTCTTGCTCAAGGTTGCATATGGGAGATTCTGGTCCCAAGTCCAGTATTTTTTTCCATTATAATGCATCTGCTTATGAAAACAGAATTTTTTCTTTTTCTTTTTCTTTTTTTTTTTGGCTCTTTGCATTTTCTATGAAGTCACATTTTATAATTTTTAAAATCATTTCTAATGTTTGTTTCCAGACTAAAACTAAGATTAAATGCTGCCAGCATTAGACCCTTTTTCATCCTGTTGATAATTTAGAGTATCTGGTTGTGGCAAAAGTATCCGTAGAGGTTAACTTAGTAATATATTTATAGCTTAGCTGTTGTAGCATATCATAGTATTTCAGACTCTTTTTAATATTTTAATTTTTTTTAAAAAGTAAAAGCAGTATAGGAACAGCATTAAAAGGATCTTTCTGTAACATGGATGTTTATATTTGCAGGTGGTTTTGCAGAAGTGCAAAGTCAAGTCTCTCTTGCACAGCCCTGGAGACTACATCCTCCTAAGTGCAGACAAATATGAGATCAAGGTGAGGCTTTTTTCCTCCATTAATTTGTCTCAAAAAAGAAAAACTGGCAAATATAAAAAATTTAAAATGGTATAGTAAGGGGGGAATACCTGAAGGGGGATGGGAATATTATACTCCAAGCTGTCTTAAACCCGTTGGACGAGGAGATTATTCATTAGCTCTTATGTCGTAGAGAGTGTCTAACTCTGATTTACAAATGCAAGTTTAAAAAAAAACAAAACACAAATTTATCTTCAGCTCCTTCTTACTGTTTTCTTAAGACACATAGCTCCTACCTTCCTCAATTCTTAGATTTAAACTATGAAAACAAACATTAATTTGTTATTATAAAACGACTTGCAAAGACTCTTTAGAACACTCATATATACATTCTCATTGAATCTTTTAAACCATCCTGTACGGTAGGCATTATTTATTGAGGGAAGGGAGGTTTAGAGAGGTAAGTATTTTACCCAAGGTTACACAGCACATTTGCAGCAGAATCAAGACTTGAACTCATGTCCCTTGATTGTGAAACCTGTGATATTTCCAGTATATTTTACTTTGTATCTGACTTCAGCAGTGCAGGCCACATTGTTTCAGGACAAGCTTTTCTGTGGTGATGTGATCTCCTTATTTTTCCTAATTTTTTTTTTTAATCTATAGATTTGGCCCATTGGGAGAGAAATCAACTGCAAGTGCTTAAAGACATTGTCTGTCTCTGAGGATAGAAGTATCTGCCTGCAGCCAAGACTTCATTTTGATGGCAAATATATTGTGTGTAGTTCAGCACTAGGTCTCTACCAGTGGGACTTTGCCAGTTATGATATTCTCAGGTAATGTTACCTTGGGCCTTACGTTTAACCTTTGAAAGTAAGCTGCAATTCCGAAGTAGAATTCCGAAGTAGAACAAGACTGAATATTCAAATGTACTGGTCAATAATTTGGTTTTAGGAAATGTTTCCTACATCAGTATAAACAGGTTATATATGCTGAAAATGTCACCAGAAAAATGTTTTAGAGACAGTATGCAGAAAAGAAAGTTATATTTTGGGAGGTCTAGGTTCTAATTCCTTCCTTGTCTCTGAGTCTTGAGTTACGTCTCCTTTCAGAATTTAACATACTTCTCTGGACAATGAGAAGCTTGGATGAAAAGATATTTTAGATCTCCTCTAGTTCTCATATTTTAAGTTCTACTTCCTTTTTAGTTCAAATTTTTCATGTTCTGTAAGCTAGTCAACTAAGTAGGGTCGAGAGGTTGAGTGGCCTTCTGTTGACCAGTAGAAAGACAAAGGTATTTAGAGAAAAATACAACTTGCAGGTCCATGGACAAATAGTTTTCTGATTCACTGCATACCACAGACCTGGTAGTGCAGTGGTTAAGAGCTACAGCTGCTAACCAAAAGGTCGGAAGTTTAAATCCACCAGCTGTTCCTTGAAAACCCTATGGGGCAGTTCTGCTGTCTCCTGTAGGGTCACTGTTAGTCAGAATCGACTCGGCGGCAATAGGTTTGGATTTTTTTTTTATTAACACATTGAAGGCTGATTGAAGCAATGCCATGTGATGATTAAGAGAATTAATTTTGATGACAGACATACCTTGGTTTAAGACCTGGTGCTGTCTCTTATGAGCTACATGATTTTGTATAAGCTTCTAAACCTCTCTGTGCCTCAGTTTCCTCATCTGTGAAATGAGGATTAAATGAAATGCCTGTAAAGAGGATTTGGCAAGTCTTTATTACTAATAGCTCTGAGAACCACTGCCGTTGAGTCAATTCCAACCCATAGTGACCCTATAGGACAGAGTAGAACTGCCCCATAGGGTTTCCAAGGTTGTAACCTTTACAGAAGTAGACTGCCACACCTTTTTCCCATGGAGCAGCTGGTGGGTTCAAACCAGCAGCCTTTCGGTTAGCAGCCAAGTGCTTAACTACTGCACCAGCAGGGCTCCTTATCGCTTTGAGAAGCCATACGTAAAGAAACCTGTCTGAATTTGGTTACCGTACTGTCCCTCACACTTACTGTGCACAAAGCCCTTTTTTTTTTTGAGGAGTATCTATTAACAACTCACTGAATTAGTGTTCTACAGCATGGTCCAGGAAATGCTGACTTGGGGGAGTACAGAAGATTGAATAGTCTCTTCACTGTTTTTATGCATGACTGTTTGAGCTCTGATGATACTAGCCAGTAGGACTTTGGTGGGCCCCGTTTATGTCTTTCTGGAGTCAGACCAACATTTCTAACCAGTTAGGTTTTAGAGCTATCAGAATGATTTTTAGAAATGATTGATGGTTATGCTTTTGGGGTGGGGCGGGGGGAAGACCACACCAGCGCCTAGAAGGCGTTAGTCCAAGCTCTTTATTTTATGGATGGGGAAACTGAAGCCCAGAGAGGGTTAAGACTTTGCCCAAGGTCCCACAGCTCACTCTCCTAGTCCAACATTCATCCATCTATGGCTGTATTGCCCAGTAGACATATGCTTAAGGTACCAGCAAGCCAGAGGCACCAAATAATGAGGGAAGAAAATTTTAAATACCTGGTATTTTGCAAAGAAAAAATTCAAGTAGTCACCATAGGAGACTCAGATCTTTTACAGTTTAGTATTGTTTTTATTTTGAATTAATCTTTTTGGGGGGCATGGGAGGCAAAATTAAATATCCCATTGCTGTTAAGTCGATTCTGACTCGTAGTGAACCTGTAGGACAGAATAGAACTGCCCCATGGGGTTTCCAAAGCTGTAATCTTTATAGAAGCAGACTGCCACATCTTTTTCCCGTGGAGTGGCTGGTGGGTTCAAACCGCCGACCTTTTGGTTAGCCGCCGAGCACCTAACCACTGTGCCACCAGGACTCCTTTATAGTTCTAAAGGATTTGTCAAAATATGTTTAAAATTCATTTATTTGCTGGTAGGAGGTACTAGTTTTAGTTTTTTTCTTTGAAAATGGGCTATTTTATCTCTGTATTTTCTCCCTTGAACATAAATAACCCAACCTCTTCTGAAACCCTAGTACAAATCCTGTGGCCTCAAAGATAAGTTGTTAGAACCAGGTACGGCTGTTTACATCTTGAAGCTAATTGAAAGGAAGCAAAACACAAATGACAGCATGTTGCTCAATAAGACTGAGATATGATAACACTCTCTTGAGCTAGGTTATCTCAGTAAAGCATGAGAAGTTACTTAGGTTGAAGGGCCCAGATTGCACAGCAAAGATGTTCTGTTTACACTTCTAAAGTAATCAAGGTAAAAGGGGCCTTGAGCCTGTCAAAACCTGTGTTCTGTTCTGCAACGTATTTGTGCTTCAGGGTCTTTGTGATTAGCTCATTTTCACCTGGCTTAAACTCTGTCCTCATAGCCATCCAGTGTTCCAAGTTGCCAGTTATACCCTGCTTTGCGTTGATAATGTGGGACTTCCTAGATTTTCTAGTGGTTTTCCCAGCTTCCTTTGGATCATGTTTGCAAAATTTATATTTGCCTATGTTCATTGCACCACTGCTTTATTCATTAACATATTTATTGAGCACCTACCTGTGTTTCAGGCATTGTGATTTGCATTTGGAATCAGCAGAAATACTTCCTGAACTTAGATTACTAACCAGTAAGAGGAAAGACTGACATTAAACAGCTAATTACATAAAAAAAATTTAATGTTTGGGATAAGCGCAACATAGTATGTGATAGTTTGAGATCTGACCTAGACCAGGGAGTAAGGGAGGGCTTCCTGAGGAAGAGATACTCAGGCTGAGCTCTAAAGGATGAGTATTTGCATTAACTAAGTGCCAGGGGTGGGTGTGCAGTAAGGAGCGTTATAAACTGAGAGACCAGTCTGTTAGAAAGCCCAGAAGCTGAAGGTGCCTGGTACATTTGGAACTGAAAGAAGGCCAGTGTGGCTGGAGATTTGAGTGCAATCAGGAGCCATTAAAGGTTTTTTTTTTTTTATTGTACTTCAGGTGAAGGGTTACAGAACAAATAGTTTCTCATGAAACAGTAGTACACATATTGTTTTATGACATTGGTTAACAACCCCACAACATGTCAGCCCTCTAACTTCTCAACCGCCGTTTTTTTTTTTTTTTTTTGGTGAAAATACACATAGCCAAAGATACACCATTGCAAAAATTTCTACATGCACAGTTCAGTGACATTGACTACGCTCTTCCAATTGTGCTGCTATTCTCACTTAAGATGAAGGCTTACAGAACAAAATAGTTTCTCATTTAACAGTTACTACACATGTTGCCCTATGACAATGGTTAACAATCTCACAACAGATCAGCAATATCCTTACTCAACCTTGGGTTCCCTGTCACCAGCTTCCTTTTCCCCTTCTGCCTTCTGGCCCTTGTCACTGGACTACTGTACCTCGTTAGTCCCATTTGGTTTTACGGGGCTGTCCACTCCAGGCTGAATGGTGAACCTCAGAGATAACTTCACCACTGAGCTAAAAGGGTGTCTGGGGGCCATACTCTCGGGGTTTCTCCAGTCTCCTTTAGGCCAGTAAATCTGGTCTTTTTTTTGTGAGTTAGAATTATCTGTTCTACATCCTTCTCCAGCTCTGTCCAGAACCCTCTGTTGTGATCCTGGTCAGAGCAGTCAGTGGTGGTAGCCGGGCAGCATCTAGCTGTACTGGATTCAGTCCGGTGGAGGTCTTGGTAGCTGTGGACAATTAGTCCTTTGGACTAATCTTTCCCTTGTATCCTGTTCTCTTCATTCTCCCTTGCTCCCGAAGGGATGAGACCAGTGGAGTATCTTAGATGGCTGCTCACAGGCTTTTAAGACCCCAGACACTACTCACCAAGGTAGAATGTAGAACATTGTCTTTATAAACTGTGTTATGCCAATTGAGCTAGATGTTCCCCGAGACCATGGTCCCCACAGCCCTTGCCATTAAAGGATTTTAAAAGTTCAGATGAGGTAGTACGATCAGATTTTAGTGTGAGGTTTAACTGATTGTAAGGGGTCAAGAGTAGATGTGGGGAGACCAATAGAAAACTGTTGGCAAAAGATGATGTCTTGGATCAGAGTTGTGGTAATGGAGATAGTAGCAAATAGAGAAAAATTTAGGAGGTAAAATCAGTAGTTCTTGGTGATTGAATTTGTAATTTGAGTAAGGAGGAGAGTCAGGTGATTGCCATGTTTTCTAGCTTGAACATCTGGGTGAATGAGAAAGGAAATAAAGAGGAGGAAGAGGTTTGGCTAGTAAGTTCAATTTTGGGCAGATTGAGTGTGAGGAACTTTGTCTTGTTCACTACTAAATCCCTGGTACTAAGTGGCTAGCACATGTTAGGTTCTCAATAAATATTCGTTGAGTGAATGAGCTTGAGTCATCCAAGTGGAAAATGATGGGTGCACACTGTTGGAAACTCCTGTTTTCCCTTTGAAAACCAAAAAAACCAAACCCGTGGCGTCAGGTTGATTCTGACTCAGTCCCAACTCACTGCTTTTCCTGGGATATCAAGCTCTATTTTGTAGTCATGTTTATAAATGCTTGTATCACAGGGAGTGTTTGGTAAATGCTTAAATGAATGATTTTGCATGAGTGTTCTTCTCAAACATTTCCATTTAAATAGTTAACCTCTTGTAGTTCTTTTTTAAGTCCAGGTGTTTCTTCCATTTTCAATCTCAGCAAGTGAACCCATTCTCTGATCTGCTTTTTAAGCCGGGGGCCAGCACTTTTTGTTTTTTAACTGTTTGCTTAGTTTCATAGAAGTGATGCCCTTATTGCTGTTTTTAGTATCACAGAATCTTTTTTTCAGAGATAAGATATCAATTCTAAGAGAAATACATGCTCATGATAGATAATTCGTAAAATTTAGAGAAGCCTTTAGTATTCTGTCAATCTGGAATGCCCAGCTCCATTTCTTCTCCAGAAAAGAGAAAAGATACTCTTCGAGGTTCAGCTGGGAAAAGGTAGAATGATTTGCTCACTCCTGGATGCTCCCATTATATTCTTCACAGTGTTTGTGCTGAGGGTGTTCCCATGTTCTCTGACAGTTATATGCTGTGCACTCCCCATTCAGAGGTCAAAAACTTGTCTTGTTCATTTCTTTTCAGGGGCCAACCTCGCACGTATGACACTCGATAACGTTTGTTCAGTTGAAACCTCTTTATTTGTGTACTCATCCATTCATTCAGCAAAGAGCTATATGCATCAACTGGAGGATGGTTGTTGCCTTCCTTGTAGGAAGCAGTCAAATGTAGAGAACAGAGCATGGGTTCTGGAGTCAGACTGAGCTGAGCTCAAATGCTAGATCTGCAACGTATTAGCTGTGTGAGCATGGCAAGACATGTTACGCTTAGTCTCAGTTTATTCACTTACATAGTGGAGATAATACCTGTACCTCACCCAGTTGTGAGGCTTGAGATAACATGTTAATTAGGAAGTTCAGTGCCTGGCACATTGTAGATGCTCAGTAAAAAATAAACATTTTCTCCCTTCCTAATATCAAGCAGAAATCTTCTGTGTGACTCTTTCCCTTTGATCCTAGTTCTGCTTCGTAGAGCTGGTCATGTCTGTCCTCCTCTTGTACACATCCTTCACTATTAAAGGTGACAGTCGTGTAGTTTCTCTGCCCCTGGAGATATTCCTTCTCCCCTTCAGCTAAGTATCCTTCAGCTGTTCCTTACTTGTCGTGGTTACCAGACCCTCCCCATTCTGGTTGACCTCTTGAACGTACACTAACTTGATAATGTTCTTGTTAAAACATAGCTTGCCTCTTCACGGAGCCCACCATAGTGTCTTAGAGCACAATTGTACATGCCTTGTCTCATAGCTGTTTTCTAGATGCCTTTAAAGAGGACATCAGCTTTTCTTTTTTTTTGAGTGATACAGTAGTTTTATTTGAGGCACGAAAGCACGTGTTTCCATCACTTAGGATGGGGTTTACTTTAGAGTCCTGATTTCTAAGATAAGACTTCATGTCCCCCTCTATCACAGCTTCTTGGGAAATGAATCAGAAAGGGTACAGCTGGGAAAGAAAATCATGACTAACGGGGAAGTTGCAAAGAAAGGGAAGAGCTTATTCAAATTAGTGTACACGTAATAGAGCCCCAAGGAGGAAGAGAGTGGTGTAGGGGGATAGGTCAGTGAAGCAGTCATCTCCTTTCCACAGCAAGGACTTGCCCCCAAACAGAGGCAGCAGGGTAGACTTGGCAGTGGTGACTCAGCAAGGTCTTGGGACCAGAGGTTCCCAGCTCCCTCCCTGGATTCCCAGTTCAGCCACTTCTCTTCTCTGAGGAATTAAAAGAGAAAGGACGGGCCTATGTCATGGACACTGCTACTTGTTTGATGAAGTTGGCCAGGTTTAATGTCCCACTCTCAAAGGCCTGCATACTCATGGGTGCCCAGGGTGATGTGGACCTTGTTGTACACGTTAAACCATTCAGAATGGTGGTCCAGTTTTTCAGCCGGCAGGGCCACCCTTGTCACGAACCCAAAAGCCCTACTGAAGTCTTTGAAATGGAACTGCTTGAAGATGGCATCATGGCCTTTCAGCTTATTCCACCCCACAGCCCTCAGGTTTGGCAGCAGTTGGTCCCTCTCCTCGGCACTTAGCCTATGTGCTTTGCCAGCCATATCCGAGCACCGCAGGACGTGGGCAAGCAGCAAGTGGCCCCGTGAGAGTAGAGCACCAAGCCGCGGTGCACTGGGCAAGTGGCCAGGCAGGACGCGCCCAGGCCGCCCCCTCCAGGCCCGCTTCCCACATCAACTCTTCTTGTCAGCGTTTTACCTCACTAAACTTGCAGGTAGGAATGAATCCCTGGGTGGCACAAATGGTTAAGCTCTCAACTACTAGCTGAAAGGTTGGTGGTTCAAACCCACTCAGAAGCACCTTGGAAGACAGGCCTGTCAGTGGGCTTCTGGAAGGCGACAGCACTGAAAACCATATGGAGCAGTTGTATTCTGTGCACATGGGGTCACTATGAGTTGGAATCAACTCAGTGGCAGCTAACAACAACAGACTTGCAGATAACAAAAACTAAGTTTTGTGAGTTTTTTGTTTTTTTAATTTGTGCTTCTTTTTAGTCTTTTCTGTTTTGTGCCTCTGTTGATGTTTTGGAAACTGCCAACCTGAGAATGTTAAGGCTGTCCTCCTGACTCCCCTGTTCTTCTCTAGCTTCTTATGAATCCTGTATTAGTAAATGTTTTCTGAATTATTTGGGAAACTTCTAATATTTTCAGCTTCTACTGTTTTTAAAGAGAAATCCATGTGTTTATTACCTGCTAAGTAGACTAACACTTCATTCACTTAGTTTTCAGACTTTGTTCTGGGCTTCAGTATGTTCCCCTTACTCCAGTATTCTAAGATTTGACCATTAAGTCTTTTTACCTGGTAGAAATAGTTAAGTCTTACATTCTAACTGGTAACTGACTAGTTGTGAAACCTTAGAGTATTTATCCTGTCTGGGCTTCAGTTTCAGCATCTTAAAAATGAGACTGTTAGATAATCTGTAAGATCCTTTCCAGCCTGGCTATCTGGATATTTTGTGCTTTTATAACTTGTGATCAAACACTGACTTTCTTCCCCCTTAAACATGTTTATGTTATCAGACTGAGGGGGCTCCCCACGCCCCCCACCCCTGCCTTTTTTTTTTGAGAGTAGACTGGGCTTTTTGTCGTATTTTCCTTTTTATCAAAAATGTTCATTTAACTCTCTAAATTTTCTTGAATTTTATCTTGGTTTTCAATGGAAGTCTCCAGAAAAGATGACAGTAGCATAAACACAGAAGTAAAGTTGCCTTCTGGTTCATGGTCCCTAACTCTCATCCTTGTAGGGTCATCAAGACTCCTGAGATAGCAAACTTGGCCTTGCTTGGCTTTGGAGAGATCTTTGCCCTGCTGTTTGACAACCGCTACCTGTACATCATGGACTTGCGGACAGAGAGCCTGATTAGCCGCTGGCCTCTGCCAGAGTACAGGAAATCAAAGAGAGGCTCAAGCTTTCTGGCAGGTGAAGCATCCTGGCTGAATGGACTGGATGGGCACAATGACACAGGCTTGGTCTTTGCTACCAGCATGCCTGACCACAGTATTCATCTGGTGTTGTGGAAGGAGCACAGCTGATGCCACAAGCCACCACCGCTGAGCTGACTGACTTTGGGTGCCAGGGCTGCGGGTTTTGAGTGCAACCTTGGTGCCAGCTGACTGCATGAACCAAAGTTCTCACCTAACGGTATCATCACGCAGTGCACAATCATTTATCTGTGTTTGCCAGAGGGCCAGGGCTCGGGGCGGGGGAGGGCTTGTTTTATTGACATACAATGCAGCATGCTAATGGGGTACACCTTTGACTTCATTTGTACTTAGTTATGTTGATCAGTGTAAGAGGATGCACTTTGGGTTCATCTTTCTTGACAGAAATATTGTTTTTAAGTAAAGAATGTTAAATTGCTTCATTAATCTGCTGATTGGTTGCCTATGAAATCACATTCAGTCTATTATTAAAGCTTTTTACCATAGCCTTTTTTTCTTTCAAAGTTGAAGCAAAGGTGCTATGATGTAACAGCAACTTCTCGCACTTGGGGCTTAGATTTTTATAAGAGCCAGTGTTACAAAGACCATGGAGTTCTGTGACATTCATAAACTCTCCACCAAATACCGCTTCTAAAGAAAGTCTGTCTTCCAGTACAAATCCAGTTCTGTAAATTGATTGTTCATAACTCACTCAAAACCCCAGATCTTGGCAGAGTCAAGATTACACATGTCTAAGATGTGAGGGAGTTGTGTAATTTTTTGTTTCCATGTAGAGGAAGCTGTTTCTTGGTCCCCCATAGCCTGGGTGAATGCACAGAGCTGACATGATATAGTAGAAAGAACACTGAGCTGGAAGATTGGAGACTGGCTGTGGTACTTAGGAATTCTGTGACCTCAGGCATATCACTTCCCTGGGCCACAGGTTACTGTCTTTAAAGCTAGGTGTTAACCTAAGTGCTTCCTAAGATTCCTTCAAGTACTTGGTCTACTGAAGTGTGCAGAAGGTGATACTGCTGTTTTGTCTGATCCCTGATTCATTTGTGTTGGAGATAACGTTTAAATGAAATCATTGATAAACGTTGTTATCTATAAGGAGTCAACTATATGGAAAGGATGGATAAAAGGGGAATGTAGAAAATATAAGATTCCACTTGGAAGATTTAAGTAATTGATGAGAGCAATACCTGTAGGAATGATGGTTCTCTAGAGAGGCAGTGTGCTATGTTAGAAAGAATCCAGCTTACCTTCCTCCTTTGTTTGTAACTTGATATGTGGCTTGAGGCTGGTTTGCTTTCCCTCCCTAGCCCCTCATTTTCTTCATCTTTAAAATGAGGAAATTGCCCTAGATTAAGGTTCACAACACAAATGCCTAAAAGAGCCATGCAGGGAACAAAAATGCTAGATAGGATTGTGCTGCACCACGGAAAGTTTATCTGACGCGGGCTGTTACTCAGCTCTAGCTGTTTATCTTTACACAGAAAGGAGTCCAATATTGGCAGGTCTTCTGATTTTTTTCAGGGGGAACGAGAAATCCAGATTTTTATTTGAAATATCCTGATTTTTAAAATATTGACAGCTAATTGAAGATAATTTAAAATACAGTGGGCTAAACAAAACATGCCTAAGCACTTTTTGTTTGTGTCCTCCACCCTCTTGCTGCTGGTAGGTAATTCTGTGATTTAGCAGTGGAAATGGTTTAACTCAATGCCACAATCATCAGGGTGAGAGTAGAGGGAGCAGCCGGTAGAAAAAGCCCTCACTTACCTTCAGCTGTTTCCCATCGTGTTATAGGGGAATAAGATGGACATACTTCAGTCACAGACATACAGGAAAGTAGTTGACAGATGAAACACGAGAACTGGAACTTCAGTGAGAGCCTCTGCCTGGGAATGTGAGTTATTCCTTTTTGCTGACTCTAATATAAAGCATATCCATTTTTACAGATGGAAAAAAGAGTTGTTGGCAGAGCTGAACTGATACTGACTATAGTGGGGACCCACTGGAGATTCTCACAGAATCTTCACTAGCATAAAGCTTGACAGAGGACCTCTGGGTGCTGTAAAGTTAGTATTTTAGAGAATCAGTGGTTGGTTTAGTTAACGTACGTGTTGAGACTCCAAGGGGATTAGGTACATTTGAGAAAACAAGATCTTCCTTCACCCCCCACATCTGGGTTTAATCCATCTCACATTGAGTTCTCGTATGAGCTCTGCTTAGTCCTCCTAGAAGTGGAACCAGAATTACAGCTGGAATCTATTTTCCAAGAGACTTAGGGCAATGATGAGAGTAAATTATTTTTTCCCCTTCATCCAGCCTGAATAAATAACTGAAGATTACTGGTCTAATGACCATGCCTATCCCCACCTCGCTTTCCAGTAGCTTCAAAGGACAAGTAATTATAATTATAGTCATTTGTGTGGAAAAAACTTTACAAATTACAAAATTGAAACTTATGTCCCCTTCCATGCTGCCTCTTTTCAGTGGTGACTACCCAAGTTCTCATCAGGGTGGTGCTTGGTGCAGCTGGATTTTTATAGCAGTACTTGGGACAGCGGTTGGAATCATAACTTTAATTCCTCATTCTCACAGAGGCCTTTATTTCACCTGAGCATTTTATTGAATTGCTTTACAGATGTTGAGTTTATTCATAACATTGCCGGCTTTTATAAAAATGGAAAACTAGCTCATCCTTTAAAAAGATAAAAATAAAGTGAGAGCCATGGAGGGAGTGGGTAGGAGATAACTAGAGCTGTAGCCCCTTAATCTCCTTTCATTCAGGAAGGGGGCTACCTTCCCCACACACTGACTTCTGCTTCTTCAGCTCAGAGACGAGGGAATTGCCTTTGTCTCTTCCTTTGTGAATATTCTGGTTTCTGAACATTTCTAAGTCATGAGCATATAGACCTCCTCCTTTTTTATGAGCATTGGATTTCTTGGGTAGGTTTGTAGTTTGGTGGAAGTGAAGGGCCTCCCACCTCTCCGGTCAATAAAGGGTGCCATAACAACTTCAGGCTCCAGGGTGAGACGGCCCAGGAGAACTCATTGAGGGTGAGGATTTTAGCAGACTTTGTTCCCATTCCAGCCCCATTATTTGAAGTAATAAGTGTTATAAAACTGGCCCTAACCTGACCTTTTGGACCTGCCAGAGAAAGAAGAAAAATTACTTCCTCCATTGGAGTGGCTAGTCTTTGAAGAGGACCCACGGGAAAGTACACGTGTGTGGACAGGTTTTCATAAGTGGAAGGTGGAGAGTGTTGCTATTAAAATTTAAGGTTTGTACTTCCTTCTCAATAGTTTAAGAATTACTCTGTTCTGGCAACTGAAAACTCTTAGTAAAGTTTGAATGAGGAATATATAATCATTCTAGTATTTGCTCACAGGGGAATGGTTACTTCTTTACATTTATAAAACATCTTAGGGGGAAAAGAAATATCTTTGGAAACAGTATTATTTTAAACATGAAGAAATTGTTTCTGTTAGGTCCATTTTGGCCTAACAGAAGCAGCTAAGGATGATGGAATTTGGCTTTACACATTCCATTGGCCAGACATAGCCAGCTCCTTGAAATTGTGACTGTGTGCCCTGGCTTCTTGAGAGCCTAGAGGTTAATTTTCCCAGCATCACTCTTCAGCCTTGGCGCCCCCTGCTCTGGGCCTCTTGGGGCCTAAGTGTATGAACTACTTGCCTTTCTCTTAGGAAAGTGAGCAGTATAGATCACTACTCTAGGATGCAGTCTGGAGCAAGGCACACTGTCACCTCTGCCTTCAGGGACACAGCATTGACCTAAAGGAGAGAAGCCCTTTAGGTCTGTCCCTTGACACATCCTTTCTGCCTGGTTATGCTGGTGCTTGCCATGGTGTTTTAAGACAGTTGAGACATTCTTGAGAATTATTCAGTCCCTAGATAGTGTCCCTGATGAAAAGAACAGGTTAGCATTCTTGACAAAAGTGCCCACCCACCATCTTTGCCAGTGTCTCTGATCAGATGTTCCCCGTGCCTGCTCTAGGATAGTGACTTTTTTTCAGAGTAAATCCTCAGATTACTGGGTAGTCTTCACACCACTCCCATCAGCCTAATCAAGCTAAATGATCATGCTTAGTGCAAAATGATGTTCTGCTGTCGAATTGTTTCAGTGTGTTTCCAGTCTTCCTCAGCCCTTCCTAGAACAGTTCCGTTGCTGAACGTTAACACTGCATCCGGACCAGTGTAAACCCGCTTAATTATTGCAGCTTAAAGAATCCAGCTACTTCTTTATGAATGTGTCCAAATAAGAGTGTGTTTTTGCATATTTAAACCTAGCAAATTATTAATTCAGATGATACAAGCTCACAATTTTTTGGTGTCCTTATACTCACATTGTGAACAGACATTTCACTAATTTGGACTGAGTACCCTTGATGAGAATGCTCAGGTTGAAAAAGACTGATCTCTATCACCAAGCCAATGTGGTAGAAATTTATCAACTCATGTTTAACCAATTTGATGTGTGTTGTGATCTAGGGGGAATGAGGTAAAGTTTATATTTGAATTGTGGGGTGGGGGAGAAGGGATTGCTTAAGTAAATAGTGGAGTGATTGTGGTACATGATGTCTCTATAAGATGAGACATTATTTTTATGCATCATAGAAACATTCTTTTACCCATGAGTGATTGTGCTAACTATAAATTGTTTATACGTTAAAGTAGGTTCTCTCAATTAGGCAACATTTGGTTAGCCAAGCCCAAGTTATTGTTTGTACTTGAAAGTAATAAAGCTACATTTCCTTAAAAATATATTCTATAGTTAAGACTTTTTCTTTCTTTCTTTCCAACCAGTTCATGTGAAACTTTTCAGAAGTGTTTTAGAATGTGTCTTTAGAAACGGAGCTACCCCATGTGTAGCTCTGTTCTCTTACCTTTTTTTATGTGCTTTCTCAATTGTAAGTCCAACAATACAACAACTTCTGAATAAGATCCAAGAGGGAAAACAATAAATTTAAAAGTAGAAACAAGGAAGGAGTATTGGTGACCTTCATGAGTAGATAAAATGGGGGAAAAAGGTTTAATTCTCCAGATTCAAGACCTTGAAATCATCTTCCTCTCTCTTACCCTCCTCTATCAAGCATATCCCTAAGTCGGTTCATTCTTAAAGTAAAGCTCCTTGTCATTCACTAAACATGCTCCTGTACCTTTGATTCCTCCCAGCAGCCCTATTACAGGACAGATTGTCATTCCTGTTTTACAGATGAGAAAGGTAAGGCTTGGAAAAGTGGTTAATTGCTTAGAGGAGTAATAAGTGATGAGGTTGAGACTGGGACCTGATTTTCAGCCTCCACTTAACCAGTTGCCATCAAGTCGATTCCAATTCATGGCAATCCATTGTATAGGTCAGAGTAGAAGTGTGCTTCATAGGGTTTCAGTGGCTGATTTTTCAAAAATAGATTGCAAAGCCTTTCTACCAAGGCACCTCTGGATGGACTCAAACAGCCAAACTTTTGGTTAGCAGCTGAGCACATTAACTTTGCAGCACCCCCACAGATCTTCGTTTTTCTTACCTTTGTTTCCTTTTCTCTCCCTGTTTCAAGTCTCTTCAGTCAAATCCTAGGCTGCTGCCTTTCACCTTCACCTCTTTTGTGTACCTTTCAAGCCTTTTTATGCTCCGCTTCCAGGGGTCTCCTCACACCACTCCTTTGAGCATGTGACTCCTCTGTTCAAACAACGTGGGACTCCCTAGTACCAACAGGGGTGTCTACATTGCTTAACATAACTGAGCCCCAACTTACCACTCTAGGCAAACAGTTTTTTTTTTTTGCTGTCTTTCTTTTCCTGCCTTTGTACTTTAGGTCTTATTCTCCCGTCCTCATGGGAAAGTCCTCCATGTTCCTTTCTACCAGCTCCTACAGCCATTCTTTTAAGACACCATTTATCTCCCACTGTCTTTAAAGTCTCTGCTGACCACTATCCCTCACTCAGCCTGACTCAACATTTTTGTCTAGAGTAGTTAATTGTACAGTTCATTTGGCAATTTATCATGTAGTACGTTTGACAGTTGGTGAACTATTAACTTGCAGCCTTGATCCATACTTTTTCAAAAGTCAGGTGAAATTTTGTCTTTCAGCAACATTGTAAGACAGAGGGTAGGAACTCCATGATGCTCCCCAAGTTTTTGATATAATATTTCAATGAATTCCATGGATTATATGAAGGGTTATGTGACCTGGAAGAGAAATAACTCTTGAGACTATAGAACATTGAAGCCAAATGAAAGATCGGATGCACACAGCTCTTCTTCCTTTAGTCTTCCCTGTTCTGCTCCATGCTACAAACATCTAAAGTGTCGTGAGCACACTTGGGCACAGTGTTTGATGATCACACTGTGATAAGATATCTTGCAGTTGAGATGGTCCTGTCCTTTGCATTTTCACCACATGTTCTGTTCTCTTTGTGGTAAAGGTAATCTAACAATAATAAATACTTAGGGAGAATCCCAAATATGGGTGAAGTCAGCACAACTTGACCAAGGTAAATAAAGACAGTAAGAAGTACACGAGAAAAAGGGACAATTTCGGTAAGTGCTATAACAAACAATTTTCAACAACAGTAAAAACCAAAAAATTTGTGTGTGGTTACATTGGTAGATATGGGTGCATATATGTGTATAGCAAGGCGTATGTGAGTAAATGCATGCGCGTATAAAGTGTATCTGTAAGCATATGTATACATGTTTGTGTGTGCTGCATATATATATACACGTATATAACGAAACACACTGTGGGCACAGTTATGGAGGTTTCCTAGACATATCCAAACAACTTGCGGGATTGGTATACAGGATCAAAAGGTTTGGGACCATAGTCTCGAGGGGTTACTGAGTCAACTGGCATAACATAGTTCACAAAGATAATGTTCTACATCCTAGTTTGGTGTGTAGCGTCTGGGGTCTTAAAAGCTTGCAAGTGGCCGTCTAATATACAACTAATGGTCTCTACTCATGGAGCAAAAGAAAAGGAAATCAAAGGCTCAGAAGAAACTAGTCTCCAGGACTAATAGCCCACATGAACCACACAGCCTCTTCTAACCTGAGACCAGAAGAACTAGATGGTGACCAGCTACCACTACTGACTGTTCTGACACAAAAGAGGTCCCAGATAGAATGGGAGAAGAAGGTAGACCAAAACTCAAATTCCTAAAAAAGGCCAGGCATACTGGACTGATAGAGACTAGAGGAAACCCCAAGACTATCTCCCTAAGATACCCTTTGAAGTTGGAATTGAAGCTTTTTCTCCGGTCACCTTTCTACCAAATAATAGATTGGCTTATAAAATAAACAATATCACCCGTAAGTAATGTGCCTCCTTAAATAATTAACTAAATGAGATCAAATGGTCAACATTCACCCAAAAGCAAAGATGAGAAGGTAAGGAGGGGGGGAAGGGAAGCTAAATCAATGAAAACAGAACAAACGGAATGGAAATGAGAATGCTGACACATTGTGAAAATTGTAATCAATGTCACAGGACAATTTGTATAAAAATTGTTCAGCAGGAACCTAATTTGCTGTGTAAACTTTCACCTAAAACACAATAAAATATTATTAAAAAAAGGAAAGAAAAAACAAAGAAAATCACCCAGAGCTCCATTATCACAACAGTTTTTAATGTTCTCTTTGAATCTTTATGCACACATGTATAGACTTACCTAATTACAAATGGTTGTATTTTGCTGTCAGAAATGTGCTTTAGTCTTTGCAGTTATCATAATACTTTGTAACACTTCATTACTGTAATTTGCTAAACCATTCCTGTTTTGTTTGTTTTTTATTGTACTTTAGGTGAAGGCTTACAGAACAAATAGTTTCTCATGAAACAGTAGTACACATGTTGTTTTATGACATTGGTTAACAACCCCACAACATATTAACCCTT